GCTCGGCAGCACGCTTGCAGGCATCGGATCGGAAGATACGGTGCTGATAATCTCCAAACATCCCTATGCGCACCGATCCGTCCGTGCCGCGGCGGTTGCCGCTGGAAATGGTGCAACAGTTGTTGTCCTGACCGACAGCCACGCATTTCCGGGATTGCAATACGCAGACTTTCACTTCATACAACGCACTGAAAGTCCACACTTTTTTTCGTCTTACGCAGCCACGCTCGTCCTAATAGAAACGATAACAGGCATGCTGGTTGCGCGAGCCGGATCCGGGGCTGACGCCCGGATCCAGGAGGTCGACAAACATAATCGTTTGCTCGATGAGTTTGAAAATGTCTAGGGTGTAGGTCACTCTGGACCAAAGAAGTTTAACAAGAGGGAAGCCTAGTCAAATGATGATGAAAATGAACCTTGCTGGTGCCGTTCTCGCCACCAGCATTGCATTTACCGGCGCAGCATCGGCTGAAGAATTCATCACGATTGGAACCGGTGGTGTCACGGGTGTCTATTACCCGACAGGCGGCGCGATCTGCCGGCTGGTCAACAAGGGCCGTAAGGACCATGGTATCCGCTGCTCGGTCGAATCCACAGGTGGATCGGTCTACAACATAAACACGGTTCGCGAAGGAGAGCTGGAATTTGGTGTTGCTCAGTCTGACTGGCAATATCATGCCTACAACGGCACATCCAAGTTCGAGGACAAAGGCCCGTTTGAAAAACTGCGCGCCGTTTTCTCTGTGCACCCCGAGCCGTTCACCGTCGTGGCGCGCGCAGATTCCGGCATCAAGAACTTTGAGGACCTCAAAGGCAAACGTGTCAACATCGGCAACCCGGGTTCCGGCCAACGTGGCACTATGGAAGTCCTGATCGAATCCATGGGCTGGACCACCGACGATTTTGCGCAGGCTACCGAACTGAAGGCAGCCGAACAGTCCGCAGCCCTTTGCGATAACCAGATCGATGCAATGGTGTACACAGTTGGCCACCCTTCCGGTTCTATCCAGGAAGCAACAACTGCATGTGATTCCGTTTTGGTGAATGTGGGCGGTGATGCTGTCAGCAAACTGGTCGATGACAACAGCTACTACCGGACAGCTACCATTCCGGGCGGCATGTACCGCGGCAACGATGGCGACACAAACACGTTTGGTGTGGGTGCCACTTTCATCACTTCTGCTGACGTTGCAGACGATACCGTCTACACGCTGGTAAAATCAGTGTTCGAAAACTTCGATGCGTTCAAAAAGCTGCATCCGGCATTCGCAAACCTGAAGCCGGAAGAAATGGTTGCCGACGGCCTGTCCGCACCGATTCATCCGGGTGCTGCCAAGTACTACAAAGAACAAGGCTGGATCAACTAATCCAGAAACATCCAGGGTCCGGAGATTTTTCTCCGGACCCATCTCTTTGCGCGACCAAAACAGTCGTCTCAAAGGCTTGGGTGCGATCAAATTGCATGACACGTATTTCTGAGGGCGGCTGGCCCTAAAGACCCGAAAATTAGAGGGCTCCGGCTCGAGTTCGAGCCGCAGGATGGGGATTTTTCATGGCGGACCAAAATCAACCGAACAATCAGGACACCCGGCGAGGTCTCTCGGAGGACGAGCTTCAGGAACTCGTTGCCGCTTCCGATTCAGGATCTCGCAATCCTGCCGGAAACATCGGATTGCTGCTCGCGGCTGTTGCCTTCACATGGTCGGTCTTCCAGGTCCTGTTGGCATCGCCAGTGGCCTACTACATCCTGCCCGGGGACCTGATCAACAACAGTCGTCAGTTCCACCTTGCATTTGCAATGTTCCTCGCCTTCATGGCTTATCCCGCACTGAGAAGCAGTCCACGTCACTACATTCCCATACAGGACTGGATCCTTGCGCTGTTCGGCGCGTTCATCTCACTTTACGGCTTTTTCTTCTACGACAAGATCGTCAACAACGGCGGCCTTGCCGACGACATGGACAAATGGTTTGCCCTTGCCGGGATCGTCGTTCTGTTTGAGGCCGCCCGGCGGGCGCTCGGTCCCGCCATGGCTGCAGTCGCCACTGTTTTTCTCCTTTACGTGTTTTTCGGCTCTTCAGAATGGGTGCCAGAAGTTATCCGCTGGAAGGGCGCATCGCTCAAAAAAGCGATGAGCCATATGTGGATTACTTCTGAAGGTGTCTTCGGCATAGCGCTCGGTGTTTCTACCAAGTTTGTCTTTTTGTTTGTCTTGTTCGGTGCGCTTCTCGACAAGGCCGGAGCTGGAAATTACTTCATCCAGATGGCTTTTGGCGCCCTCGGTCACCTGAAGGGCGGCCCTGCAAAAGCCGCCGTTGTCGGTTCGGCTGCAACTGGACTGATCTCCGGCTCGTCAATTGCCAACGTGGTCACGACGGGTACTTTCACAATTCCGTTGATGAAACGCGTCGGATTCTCGTCCGAGCAAGCCGGGTCCGTTGAAGTTGCATCTTCGGTCAATGGACAGATCATGCCACCAGTGATGGGCGCAGCGGCCTTCCTGATGGTCGAATATGTCGGTATCTCATATGTGGACGTGATTACTCACGCGTTCCTGCCTGCCGTCATTTCCTATATCGCGCTGGTCTATATTGTTCACCTGGAAGCCGTTAAGCGGAATATGCCCACCATTGGGCACAAAACGGTTTCGACCCTGCGGACCGTACTCGGCATGTTCTTTTTCTTCGCCGGATTTGCCGCACTCTGCTACGGGGTGAAGTTTCCAGTAGGCTGGATCGTTGCCGCTGTACCTGAAGGTGCGAGCTGGATCCTGGCCGTTCTGGTTTTCGTAGCCTACCTCGTCCTGCTGAAGCTGGCGGCCAGTGTGGATGATCTGCATCCGGACGACCCGAATACCACGGAAATCACGCTTCCTGAAATCTCGGAGATCTACAAGGCAGGCCTGTACTATCTGTTGCCGATAGTTGTGCTCGTCTACTTCCTGATGATCGAGCAAAAATCACCTGGCCTTTCCGCATTCTGGGCAACGGCCCTGCTCTTCGTGATTTTGCTGACACAACGCCCTATCAAGGCGGTCTTTCGAGGCGAGAGCGAAACAATTGAAGCTCTGAAAGCCGGTGTCAACGATCTCGTGCACGGAATGATCGACGGAGCGCGCAACATGATCGGCATCGGTCTTGCGACTGCGACGGCCGGCATCATTGTCGGTACCGTTACCCTGACCGGCATTGGTCAGGTCATGGCAGATCTGGTTGAATTCGTTTCCGGCGGCAACCTGGTTCTTATGCTGATGTTCGTAGGCTTGCTGTCACTTATTCTCGGTATGGGGTTGCCGACGACAGCGAACTACATTGTCGTGTCCTCGCTCATGGCGGGTGTTGTAGTTGAACTGGGCGCCCAATCCGGGCTGATCGTACCACTGATCGCTGTCCACCTGTTCGTCTTCTATTTCGGCATAATGGCAGACGTGACGCCGCCGGTCGGGCTGGCTTCCTTTGCGGCTGCCGCCGTGTCGGGCGGCGATGCAATGCGAACCGGGTTCACGGCATTCTTTTACTCGCTGAGGACAGTCGCCCTTCCCTTCGTGTTCATCTTCAACACCGACCTGCTCCTCATTGATGTTGGCTGGCTGCAGGGGATACTCGTTTTCATAGTCGCGACAATAGCAATCCTGGTCTTCACCTCGGGCACAATGGGATACTTCGTTACGAAGAATCGGATCTACGAGAGTGTCGCCATGATTCTGATCGCGTTTGTTCTGTTCCGGCCAGACTTCTTCATGAACAGGATTCAGCCACCGTTCGAACAGATCCCACCGACCCAGTTTGTGGAAGCTGTCGGAAATGCACCGGTTGGTCAGGAAATCAGGGTCACAGTGAGCGGGCCTGATTTTGATACCGGAAACACCACCGAAAAAACCATAATCGTTAAACCCGGTTCGGAAACGGGCGGGCAAGCCCGGCTTGAAGCACTCGGTCTCACAATACTCGATGAGGACGGCGTCATGAAAATCGACGAACCATTCCCGGGCACGTCCTATTTCGAGCAGCTTGGCGATTTCGATTTTTACGGCGACGATCCTGTGATTGCAAAGACAGCTCAAATCGAAGTCAAGCAGCTTCCCAAGGAACTTATCTATATCCCTGGCCTTCTGCTTTTGGTGGTGGTTTATCTAGTCCAGCGTGCTCGCGCTGGCCGCGAGAAAGGAGTGCCGGCATGACGGTTAAGTCAGTGTTGTGTGCAGTCGACGTTTCCCACGAGGATGACATCCAGGTCCTCGAGACAGGTGAAAAGATCGCGCGCCTGGATGGCGCTCAACTCGACGTCATCACTGTTGTGCCGAACTATGGCGTGACACTTGTGAATTCCTATTTTGACGAGAACTTTCAGGGCGAAATGGTTTCGAAAACCAAATCGGCGCTGACGGAACTGGTCAGTCGGGTGCTCGGCGAAGAGCGGAACAAGGATGTCCGACACATAGTCGCGACGGGGTCCGTGTATGAGGAAATCCTGCACGCAGCCAAACAAGCGGGTGCCGATTTGATCGTGATAGGTGCGCACAAGCCCCATCTCAAAGAATTTCTTCTTGGTCCAAACGCTGCCCGCGTCGCAAGACACTCGGAGTGTTCGGTCTATATCGTCCGAGAATAGTCATGTGCGGTTTCGACGTGGAACAGTGGTAGTCCTATTCAAACATGCCACTCAGTCAAACCTAGCAGCGGCGGAACCGAAAGCGCGGTTCCTGCCGGCGTCGACTTGAGTTCTGCCGAGTCAATCTCCCTGCTGTAGCATACTGATCAAAGCAGCTGCGAACGCCGCCGCAAGTCTGTTTCATGCACAACAATTCCTGTCGACTGTTTTCAGCCTCGTGCAAGTTCAAGTGTTACCACCCTGAATTTGCAGACTGAATTCATACTGACGATGATCCCGTAATAGCATTTCGCGGAAAAAGCCAATAGATACGATAAGTTAAACTATATCTGGTAGCTTCATCTGCAATGCAACCATAACCAAAAATGCAACCGGGGTGATATTGCTCCATGCTGGGGCTCATTCGCACATCTACGCAGCGGAAATTTCTCGCGATTATGTTTGCGGCACTCATTGCCGTGAACGGTCCGCTGCTGGTTACGTTTTTTATCGTTACCAAAGACACCCTTGAGCGCGAAATGATCGCAAAGAAACGGGTTTTGCTCGACGCCAACAGCAAGGCGCTGAGCAAGGTGCTTTGGGACTTCGACTATGAAAACCTGCGCAAATGGACCGTTGCGATCGCAAACGACCGCGACATTTTCAGTATCGAAATTCTGGACGACAACGACAAGCGGCTCGCTTTCGTTTCAAACAACGAGAACGAAACCAACATTCCCGAAAAAGAGGAAGCGCTCTTTTCCAAGGAAATCACGCATGCTGTTGACGGAACCGATCATGTCGTCGGAACCCTGCGTATCAGATTCATGTCCGATCGCATTAGCAACGCTGCGATGGGTGAAGTCGGCAAGTCTGTAATACTGTTCATCGTGTCGACCATTTCGGTTCTTGTGGCTGCGCTCATTGCCAACCGTTTCATGATTACAAGGCCGCTCCTCCGCCTGAATGAAGCGATCGAAGCAACCCATCGCTCGGGAACAAGAACAAAAGTGGACTGGTCCTCGTCTGACGAACTTGGCCGCGTCACCAGTGCATTCAACGAAATGCAGGACAGCCTCGACCAGGACGAGGCCAAGCTGCTCAAGGCGAACAAGCGGCTTGCATTCCTCTACAACAACACCCCGGTCATGCTGTACTCGATCGACCGGGAAGACCGCATCATCAAGGTGTCAGACTATTGGCTCCACGCGACTGGTTACAGCCGCAAGAACGTAATCGGCCGCAAATTCCGCGAGTTCATTCATCATGAATTCAAGGAAGAATATCTGAACAATCGCAGCCTGCTCTCCACCGGCAGGAACGAAACGCTCGAGTTCACCTCCGTTTTTGAAAAGGCGGACGGAACCCAGCTTGATGTCCTGATCACCGAAGCAAAAGACTACGACGACAGCTCAAGCGGCCGCAGGTCACTGTCTGTCATGACCGATATCTGCAAATTGAAGGCAGCCGAAGCGGAAATCCTGCGCCAGGCACGTACTGATTTTCTCACCGGGCTATTGAACCGGGAAGGCTTTGCAGATCGCCTGAACACCGCCATCGAAGAAGCCGGCGACACGCTGGAAATTGCGGTCCTGTTTTTCGACCTCGATCGCTTCAAGTGGGTCAACGACAATCTGGGACACTTTGCGGGTGACCGGGTTCTGCAATCGGTCTCACGGGAAGTCTCACATCTGCTGGATGAAGGGGACTGTTTCGGCCGGTTCGGTGGAGACGAGTTCGCGATCATGTTGTCGAGCAACGCCGTAAGAAAGCGCGCCGTTGAACTCGCGACAAGGATCAACAGGGTGCTGAACAAGCCCATCGACCTCGGCGGCAGGACGCTGCAGATTTCCGCAAGCGTGGGTATTTCCTTCTATCCTGAAAACGCAATGAATGCGGAGGATCTGCTGAAAGCGTCCGATGTTGCAATGTACCGTCAGAAAAACAGCGGAAGAAACGGTCATTGCGTGTTCAACGAGAAATTCGGCAGGGAGGCGGCCAGACAACTTGAAGTCAAAGAGGTCATTTCCGAAGCCCTCAAGAACGATTGGTTCGAACTGCATTTCCAGCCGATCGTCGATTTGAAGAGCCGATCGACAATCGGTTTTGAAGGACTTCTTCGGCTTGTGCATCCCGGCAAGGGTATTCTCCCGCCACTTGAATACATCCGGGCTGCGGAGCAGACGGGTGGCATTCTTGAAATAGGGGACCTGGTGCTGGAATTGGGGCTGCAGGCCCTTGAGCGCCTTCATTCGAAGCCCGAATGGCAATCAACTTATGTCGCGTTGAATTTCTCTGCCGCACAATTTCTACCGGACCTGCCCGCCAATCTTGCACAGAAACTGTCAGCTCACTCGATCGATCCCGATCACCTGGTACTGGAAATTACCGAAACAACCCTGATGCAGAACAACATGGGTCTGGCCAGCTTGATCGAAGACATCAGAAATCTGGGCTGCGCGTTCGCACTTGACGATTTCGGCACAGGCTTTTCGTCGCTCAGCTACATGAACCGTTTTCCGGTTGATACGGTCAAGATCGACAGTTCCTTCATCAGCGGGCTGGACGAGACAGCCGGCAGCGAGCGGGCCAACAAGACCCACGCCCTGATCGAAGCAATCGTCGGGCTTTCGAAAAGACTCGAACTCAATGTCATTGCAGAGGGTATTGAGAACGAAGAACAACTCCGCTGCCTGATCGAGATGGGTGTTGAAACCGGCCAGGGTTTCCTGTTCGGGAAAGCTGAACCGCTCGACACCGTCCTTTCCGGGCATACAGCGCGGCAACCGGAAATAATGTCCTTACCGGATATGAAACTGAGCAACACCGGGTATGGTTAGATCAACGTAACGTAATGAGGGTCAACCGATGCGATTTTTGACAAGACGGTCCGTCGTCGCCGGAATGGCTGCCTTCACGTCCCTAACGCTGATCCGCTCGTCGCATGCGAGAACCGGGCTCGGCTCCTTGAAGGTCATGACGGAGGAATATCCGCCCTACAATTACAAAGACGGGGCAGGCCTGAGCGGCATCAGTGTCGAGATCATGGATGAGATGTTCAAGCGGGCGGCGTCGGGGCACAATCGGGAAGACATCGCTCTTTTGCCTTGGGCCCGGGGCTATAATCTCACTCTGCAACGCCCAGGACATGCATTATTTTCCACAACACGCACGCCGGATCGCGAGGATCTGTTCAAGTGGGTGGGGCCGTTCGTTCCAACAGTCGTCGGACTGACAGCGAAGAAAAGCCGCCACCTTGAGATCAAAACGGTGCACGACCTGGCAGATATTCGGATCGGGGTTGTCAAGGATGATGTCGGTCAGCTTCTGTTGCGGGCGCAAGGTGTGCCGGACGACCGCATCGAGACGGTGCTTTCGAACGAGCAGAACTTCCGCAAACTCATGGCAGGCCGCGTGGATGCGATCTCCTACGAAACCAAGGTCACGCGCTGGGGTTTGCAAATGCGTGGCGCCGATCTTGAAAACTATGAAACCGTCTATGAACTGGACCGGGGGGAGTTATTTCTGGCGCTGCACTACCAGACCTCCGACAAAATTGTCGAAACGCTGCAAAGTGCCTTCGACACGATTGTCGCAGACGGAACACACGAGAAAATTCTGAAACAGTACGGCATTACATCCTAGCGAAAATTCTCCGAACCATGCCAGCGGCAAACTAGCAGCAAACTTACCAGATCAACTGCTCCCCAGGAGCACATTTTTCAATCGCTCGGCCTCATCACTCATCGGGCGCGCCTTTGGCCACGCGATGTAATATCCCTTGCCGGTAGACAGTGTCCTGGAATTCATGGCCACCAGATCTCCCGACGAAAGCTCATCCTGCAAAAGGGGCAGTGCACCAAGTGCGATCCCCTGCCCTTTCAACGCACGTCCGATCGTCTGGTTGTAGCTAGCGCAGTTCAGCACCGGCCATTCACGAAACTCCGACCATCCGGTTCGCTGGATCCATACATTCCAATCGGTCCAGTTCGGTGCCATTCGTGCAAAGTTCAACAGCACCTGACCGTCATTCTGTCTGAATGCACCTGCTTCTTCTACTACCGCCGGAGTTCCAACTGGAACAATTTCCTCTTCAAACAGCAATTCAGCATTCCAACCCGGAAGCCGGTTTTCACCATGCAGGATGACCAGATCGTGTTCCGGGCGGAGCAGGTCCCCCAATTCGTCTGCGCTCGTGAGGTTGAACGGACACGCCTCATCGGAAAGTGCGAAAGACCTTAGTTTGGGCTGTAGCCAGAAGGTCGCGAGCGCCGTTACCGACGCAATGCGGACCACCGGTTGGGACGGGATTTTTACCGTCCGCAATGCCTGGTCCAGATAGTCCAGTGTCATACCGGTCTTTTCGGCGAGATATTCACCAGCTTCGGTTGGTATCAACTTGCGACCGGAACGCTCGAACAGATCGACGCCGAGCCAGGTTTCCAGTTGCCGGATTCGCTTGCTGACCGCCGCCTGCGTGACAAAGAGTTCGTCGGCTGCTTCCGTAAAATTCTGATGCCTCATTGCCGCTTCAAAAAAGACCAGCGTGTCCAGCGGCGGCAGTGACTTGCGATAACTTAGCATTCCTGGAAGTTATCAATACGGGTGAATTTTTCCAGGCTTTTCCTGTCGGTTCAAGATGCAATTATTCCCTGATGTGTGTTTGGAGACGAAATCATCATGGCGGAACTTGACTGGCACGCGGAGCGAAGCGATCTGGCTGACATTGTACAGCTCGACCGGTCACCGGAAACCGACGGCATTGACCTTGCTGGTGTGCGCGCCTACCGGCAGGCGCGCGTGCGCCGGAAAATGTCCGAATACGGTGTTGATGCCGTGATCCTCTCAGATCCCGTCAACATTCGCTATGCGACCGGCACACGCAACATGCAGGTCTTTTCCATGCGCAATGCTCCGTCGCGTTACCTGCTTTTGACACTGGACAAGTCAATCCTGTTTGAATTCACCGGCTGCCTGCATCTGGCGGAAGGCTTCGAAACCATCGATGAGGTCCGCCCGGCGAGAACTGCCAGTTTTGTTGCCGCCGGACCACATATTGTAGAGCGCGAGGCGCTCTGGAGCGCGGAAATGGCCGACCTGATTCATGAGCTGACGGGCAACAGGAAGGCAACTGTCGGCCTGGAGCGCTTGAATGCGGGAACGAGCATTGCTCTTCGAAACCGTGGTCTGTCAGTCGTCGACGCGCAGCAACCGATCGAAATGGCGCGCGCGATCAAGTCGCCTGAGGAAATGAAATGCGTGATCGCCTCGTTGCGGGCGACGGAAATCGGGGTGGGCAAGCTCAGGGAGGCGATCCGCCCAGGCCTGACGGAGGCCGAACTCTGGTCCGTTCTGCACAAATCAATCATCGAACAAAACGGCGACTATGTGGAAACCCGATTGTTGAATGCCGGCGACCGGACAAACCCCTGGTTTCAGGAAACGTCGGCGAACCTCATTGGCAGAAACGATCTGATCGCGCTCGATACGGATGTCGTCGGCTGTCACGGTTATTATGCCGATTTCTCGCGCACCTTTCATGCCGGGCCGGACAAACCCAGCGCCGAGCAGCGAGACCTCTACAAGATCGCCTTTGAGCAGGTGCACCACAACATGGACATCCTGCGCCCCGGCATGACATTTCGCGAATATGCAGACCGGGCATGGAACATACCCGAGAAATACCACACCAACCGTTACTACCTGTCTGCACATGGTGTCGGCATGACCGGCGAATATCCCTATCTCTATCACCATGGAGACTTTCCGGAAGCCGGTTATGACGGCGCGCTGGAATCGGGAATGACGATTTGTGTTGAAAGCTTTATCGGCGAAGACGGAGGCAGGGAGGGTGTCAAGCTGGAACAACAGGTTCTGATCACCGACAGCGGGATCGAGCTTCTGTCCAGATTTCCCTTCGAGGATGACCTGCTGGCCTGAGATCCCGGTTCCTTTCAAGGGACTGCAGTTCCCAACCGGTTTGCCAAGGATTGTCACCATGAGATACTTTTTTGGACTGCATCGGACAAAAACTCTAGGCAAAGCGAATTTGCCACCCTATCTAATCGCAAGATTGCGATGAATTGGGGACTTGCCCAGGCATGCGCAGACTGTTTCAACCTGATCCGAGCCGGAGAGCGATTCTGATGACTGACACCCCGACCTACACGCCACCGAAAGTCTGGACCTGGGAACAACCGAATGGCGGCGAGTTTGCCAGTATCAACCGGCCAATCTCCGGCGCAACACATGAGAAAGACCTGCCCACCGGCGACCATCCCCTTCAACTCTATTCGCTGGCGACCCCGAACGGCGTCAAGGTAACCGTGATGCTTGAAGAGCTTCTGGCGCTCGGCCACAAGGAAGCCGAATACAATGCCTGGCTGATCCGCATCAATGAAGGCGATCAGTTCTCCAGCGGCTTTGTCGGAGCCAATCCAAATTCGAAAATCCCTGCCCTGGTGGACCACAGCACGGAAGAACCGACACGGGTGTTCGAATCCGGGTCCATTCTTCTCTACCTGGCAGAGAAATTCGACGCATTTTTGCCCAAAGATGCTGCAGCCCGCACCGAAACACTGAACTGGCTCTTCTGGCAGATGGGGTCCGCCCCCTATCTTGGCGGCGGTTTCGGCCACTTCTATGCCTATGCTCCTGAAAAATTCGAGTATCCGATTGATCGCTTCAGCATGGAAACCAAGCGTCAGCTGGACGTGCTCGACAAGACACTGGCCGAGCGTCCCTATATCGCCGGCGAAGATTACACGATTGCGGACATGGCGATTTTCCCGTGGTACGGCGGCCTCGTACTCGGCCGTCTCTACGATGCTGCCGAGTTCCTCGCTGTTGACGAGTACAAGAACGTCAAGGCATGGGCCGAAAAGATAGATGCCCGTCCCGCGGTCGTTCGCGGCAGGAAGGTCAACAAGGCGTGGGGAGAGGAATCCGAACAGGTTCACGAACGCCACAGCGCGGACGACCTAGATCCGAAAGCAGCGGTTGAAGCGGCCGCAGAGTGAAGTCCCGGCAGCGACCTGCGTCCACAGGTCGCTGCCTGCACTCAGCACAGCGAAATTTCCCGGACACAATCTCAAAACGCGCGTCTTGCTCAGAATAAATTGCTAAAGCTGCCGAATTTGTGAGTATTCCGGCTAATCTTCGGTATGGATTTAAAGACTCCAGTACCCCTGGAAGCCGATTTCGCCAACTTTCGGATCTCGCGCTTGTCTGCCTTCAGTGACGGAATACCGTCCTGCTCCCTGGCAAACACATCTTGTCATAAGTAAAATTTTCGTCTCTATAGTCGAGCATGCATACAAAGTCCGCACGATACCGATGAATTCCTTCGTCGTAAGGTGCAGGCTCCCCTTCTTTAGGCCATGTCCTGGTCACCATCTTGGAGCGACATATGTCAGAAGCCCTTAAGATAGGCACACCCAAGGAAATCTTCCCCGGGGAGGCCCGTGTGGCCATGACCCCGGAATCGGCAAAGCAACTGCAGAAGCTGGGCTATAGCTGTCTCATTCAGAGCGGCGCCGGCAAGGCTGCAGGGTTTTCAGACGACGCATACAAGGAGGCAGGCGTCGAGATCGTCAAGACCGCGCCCAGTCTCTGGAAGCAGTCGGACATTGTCGCAAAGGTGCGCCAGCCCGAAGACAAGGAACTGGGTTACCTGACGAAGGGCAAGACGCTGATTTCCTTCTTCAATCCGGGCGGCAACGAAGCCGGGATGGAAGCGGCGAAGGAAAAGGGCGCCAACGTCATCGCCATGGAGATGGTGCCGCGAATCTCGCGCGCGCAGAAGATGGATGCACTGTCTTCGATGGCCAATATCGCCGGATACCGGGCAGTCATCGAAGCCGGCAACAATTTCGGCCGGTTCTTCACCGGCCAGATCACCGCTGCCGGCAAGGTTCCGCCGGCAAAGGTGCTCGTGGTTGGCGCAGGCGTTGCGGGCCTTGCGGCGATCGGGACATCCACGTCGCTCGGTGCGATTACCTACGCGTTCGACGTTCGCCCCGAGGTGGCTGAACAGGTTGAATCCATGGGCGCTGAATTTGTCTATCTCGATTTCGAGGAAGACCAGCAGGACGGGGCGGCAACGGGTGGTTACGCAAGCGTGTCCTCACCGGAGTTCCGGGAAGCGCAGCTGGCAAAATTCCGCGAACTCGCGCCCGACATGGACATTGTCATCACGACGGCGCTCATTCCGAACCGTCCAGCACCGAAGCTGTGGCTTGAAGACATGGTCCAGTCCATGAAGCCGGGTTCGGTGATCATCGATCTTGCCGCGGAGCGCGGCGGCAACGTGGAAGGTACGGTTGCCGACAAGAAGATCGTCACCGACAACGGCGTGACGATTGTCGGTTATACGGACTTCCCGTCCCGGATGGCAGCCCAGTCGTCTACCCTATACGCAACGAACATCCGCCACATGATGACGGATCTGACGCCGGAAAAGGACGGTCAGCTCGTCCACAACATGGAAGATGACGTCATTCGCGGCTCAACGGTGACCCATGGCGGTGAGATCACCTTCCCGCCGCCGCCACCGAAGGTCCAGGCGATCGCGGCCAAGCCGAAGGAAAAACCGAAGGAGCTGACGCCGGAGGAAAAACGCGCTCAGGAAGTTGCCGCCTTCAAGCAGCAGACCAAACAGCAGGTCACTTTGCTTGCCGTCGGAGGGCTGTTCATGCTTCTCGTCGGGCTCGTGGCGCCGGCCAGCTTCCTGCAGCACTTCATTGTCTTCGTGCTGGCAGTGTTCGTCGGTTTCCAGGTGATCTGGAACGTCAGCCATTCGCTGCACACGCCGCTGATGGCGGTGACCAACGCCATCTCGTCGATCATCATAGTCGGGGCATTGCTGCAGGTCGGTTCGGGATCGTTCCTGATCATCCTGCTTGCGGGGCTTTCCATATTCATGGCCGGGATCAACATTTTCGGCGGTTTCCTCGTCACACGGCGCATGCTCGCCATGTTCCAGAAGTCCTAAGGAGCCCGACCCATGGAATTTGGCTTTACAACTGCCGTCTACGTGGTTGCGGCAATCCTGTTCATTCTCTCGCTCGGCGGCCTGTCAGGTGAAGAGAGTGCAAAACGCGCGGTCTGGTACGGTATTACCGGCATGGCGCTCGCCGTCGTTGCAACGCTCATCGGACCCGGTTCCGGTCTCTGGCTGCTGTCGGTGATCCTGATCGCAGGCGGTGGTGTCATCGGCTACTACGTCGCCCAGCGGGTCCAGATGACCGAGATGCCTCAGCTTGTTGCAGCAATGCACTCGCTGGTCGGCATTGCCGCCGTGTTTGTCGGTTTCAACGCCTATATCGAACTCGGCCGCGTTCTGGCCATGGGCGATGAAGAGCGCAAAGCGCTCGAAGGGTTTGCTGCCTTGCTGGCGAAGAAGACTTCTGCGGAACAGTCCATCCTGAAGGTCGAGGTATTCCTCGGCGTCTTCATCGGTGCGGTCACCTTTACCGGCTCGGTCGTGGCCTTCGGCAAGCTGGCCGGCAAGATCACGTCCAAGGCGGAAAAACTGCCCGGCGGACATGCCCTGAATGCCGGTGCGGCGATCCTTTCGTTCATTCTCCTGATCCTGTTCCTGAGCGGTGCCGGTATCTGGACGCTCATCCTGATGACATTGCTGGCGTTCTTCATCGGCTATCACCTGATCATGGGGATCGGCGGCGCGGATATGCCGGTGGTCGTCTCGATGCTGAACAGCTATTCCGGCTGGGCGGCGGCAGCGATCGGCTTCTCGCTCGGCAACGATCTGCTGATCGTCGTTGGCGCGCTTGTCGGTTCATCCGGTGCGATCCTGTCCTACATCATGTGCAAGGCGATGAACCGCTCGTTCATCTCCGTCATTCTCGGCGGCTTCGGCAACACGACCGGACCGGCGATGGAGGTCGAAGGTGAGCAGATCGCCATCGATGCCGACGGTGTTGCAGCTGCCCTTGATGACGCGGACAATGTCATCATCATACCGGGCTACGGCATGGCGGTGGCCCAGGCACAGCAATCGGTCAGCGAACTGACCAAGCGCTTGCGTGCGAAGGGCAAGAACGTGCGGTTTGCGATCCACCCGGTCGCAGGTCGCCTGCCCGGCCACATGAATGTGCTTCTGGCGGAAGCCAAGGTCCCATATGACATCGTTCTGGAAATGGACGAGATCAACGAGGACTTTCCGGAAACCGATGTCGCCATCGTCATCGGTTCCAACGACATCGTCAATCCGGCTGCCCAGGAAGACCCGAACTCGCCGATCGCCGGCATGCCGGTTCTGGAAGTCTGGAAAGCCAAGCAGGTGTTCGTCTCCAAGCGCGGCCAGGGCACCGGTTACTCCGGTATCGAGAACCCACTGTTCTACAAGGAAAACACACGCATGTATTATGGCGACGCAAAACAGTCTCTCGACAAACTGCTCACCATGATCGAGTGATTTCCCAAACTCGACTGTAATAAAGGCCGCTCCGGAACCCCGGAGCGGCTTTTTTTATGGAATGATTGTATTGACTTAGTGTCGCGTTTCGATGGGGGGAAGAAACGCAATGGCTCTTGTGATGCTTGTGCATTTTTTGGCAGGCGATCACAGAGCCATGATCGCGTTCAGTCCCGAACCAGAAGACACACCGCTACCCGGTTTCAATCCTGATTACACAACCGCGTTGAAAATGCCGGTCCTGGCCCAGATCCGCCTGACACACCGATGAGGGCACGCTGCAAAATCTTTTTTTGAACCTTTTTCGATCGCCTGAGCACCAACAAGTACTCGCACTTGGCGAGGTCACCATCGCGGTCCTTTGTTGACGTCTGGCGGCAGACCACTGCGTCAGACCGTCGGGACGATTGGTGATTTTTCAAGACAGGAGATTTGCAATGAGCTTCCTTTATTCTTTCCTGAATTTCTTCAAACCCCAATTCATCAACGGGTCTCATCAGAG